AGGCATAATAATAATATTCTAGCCTATAAACGTTAGCGATATAATAGCTTCTTATAGCTATAAGCATATATAATATACTTTTAGAATACTAAATTAGCTTAATATATACTTATATCTAGCGGTAGGAGCATTAAGTTAATCTAAAGCGCTTAATAACTTAGGCTAGCTAGAGCTAGAGCCCGTATATAGATCTAGAGTCTAACGAGCGGTACTAGAGTCTATAGGGCTTTATTACCTACTTTAGGTAATGCTAGACGTAAAATATAAAGTATAAGACTACTAGTTAAACTTAAGGCATAATAATAGCCTATTAACCTTAAGGTATAATACTTACTATTAACCCTAAAGTACGAAAAGTATAGGACTAAATACCTAGCCTTATAGCATAACGCTTATCTTAACCCTAAGGTATATAACTAACTTTTAACCTTAAGATATAATTTATTTATTTATTTAAACTTAGGGTACGAAGGATTATTAGGCCTTCTATAACGTACTAGCCGTAAGCCTTCGCGTAATTCTTTAACCCTATATTTAAAGCCGCTAGCTATAAATTACTTCGCGGCTTAGATTATACTAGCGCGAGCCTATTATAACCCTAAAGCTAATGAGCGTTTCTCTCCTAACTATTATTTATTAAGCTATTCTTATTTATTAAGCTATAAGCGCTAGCTAAAGGGCTAATCTATTTAATATAATCCTATCTATTATTCCTTTATATTATTCTATTAATTAATAATATATATTATAATAAAGCTAGCTTTAATAAGTAAGAGCTAAGTAGCTTATAAATATTAAATATACTATAAGGAGGTAAAATAAGGTTATATAAGCTAGCTACCTTTATATTTATAATACCCCCTTTCTTTATATAATGCCCTTTTCTATTTTATAGCGCTATATAACTTAATAAGTAACTTAAGCTAAGTTAAGGCTTAGACCTTAAAGACTAACCTTTAATATTTAAGCCTTAATAATAAAAGGTTATATAAAGTAATATAATAATAAAAGTAATTAATACTTTAAAAGTAAAAATAAGACCTTTTATATAGCTATTATTATAATAAAATAAACTTCTTATAAAGATTATATTAACGTAATTAAATATACTTATTATATATTTAATAAAGATATACCTTTAATAAAGAGGATAAATTATTAAGAATAATTAAGTATAAAATATAAAAGTTAATAATATTATCTTTATAAATAATATTATTATATTTATAAACTTAATTATAGCTTAAAGATAAATTAAAGTTAAAATAAAACTTATTACTATTTCTTTTTTAATTTAGTTTCTATAAATAATTAATAAATTTATTATAATTTTAAGCGCTTTAATAAATAATAAAAACCTCTCTTTACTTTTATTAAAGGTAATAAATAATAAGTTTTAAAGTAAAGTAAAGTATTTAATTAAAATTAATACTTTATACCTATATTAATTAATATATCTTAATAGATTAAGTAAAGAGCTATATTTAAAGTTTTTTAAAGAGTATTATTATAATAACCCTTTATATATAAAAAGAACTTTATAAGCTTAATATTTAAATAAAGGACTTTATTAAAAGGAATTTATAATTAAGGGATAAACAATATTAAGAATAGTTTAAAGTTATAGCTTTAATTTAAAGTAAATAATTAGCTATTAAAAAAGTATTTATTAAAAAAAGAGTATAGCCTTTAATAATATAAGCTTATAGAAAGAAAACCGCTATAAATAAAGATATTATAAATTAAATAAATAAGGTATATATAAAGAGGGTAATCTTTTACTCTTAAAAGAGAAAAAAAAGTATACCTTTATAGTTATAATTAATAATAGATATTATTTTTACTTTATTTAAGTTACTTTAATTATAATACTTTATACTATAATAAATAGCCTTACTTTATAAATTTAACTCTTATATAGTTTTATAGTATATATAAATATAAGAGTTTTAAAGACTTTATTTATTTAATTATAATAAGGGCTCTTATATAAGCCTCTTTAAACTATTAAAAATACCTTAATTATAAAGATCTTATTAAATATTATAAATTACCCCTTTTTTACTTTTATTATCTTTCTTTTTATTTCTAAATAATAATATTATATTTTTTAGGCTAAGATTAAAGTATATTATATAATTAAATCTTACTTTATTATTTAATACTTTTCCTCCTTTAATAAAGTATATATTTTAACCCTATTTATATATTAATGAGTTAATAAGCTAAATATACTCTATAGAGTTTACCTTAGCTATTACTAGCTATATTATAATTTAGCTATACTAAGAGTTTATTAATATTAAGAGTTATAATATTTATAATTAATAGGAAAATCTATTACTAATTATAGTTAATTTATATAGAGCTAAAGTTAAGCTATAACTATAAGAGATAAGCTCGTATAGTCGCAAACTCTAGTTATATACGATTATCTAGTTTAGCCTAAGCTACTAACTTTTACTACGTCTCTTTAAGGGATAGACTTTACTTAAGTTTGCCTGGGCGCATTATCGAGAACGTCGTATACTAGGCACATATAGACTCCTGTCACAACTGCGCGGGTTAAATACCATGGCCGCTGCAAGTGCATATCATGTTAATACACAATGTCTTCTCGTGAACTAAGCCTCGCAAAACTGTACCAGGCCTGGTATCCCTGTTCTGATCCTCGAGATGGCTGCCAGGCTCGGGATGCTGAGAATTAGCAAGAGGAAGCCCAGTCTCTTCAATAACGCAACAGTGATCTCCCTCGACCTTTTTTTCCCGAGTCGCATTATTGAGTCCTTGTCGTTTATCCGCGGGAAAGGAACGTCCGGGACAGGAACGCCCAAAAAACAACAAAGCGGTTCCCATCCTTCATCTAGCTGAAAGATCAGGAGCTGATCTGCTGGCACAAGCCTCCTTACCATCTCATGATGCTGTTTGTGGGCGACTGGTAGGCGCTCCTGAGTCCCGATTTTCGTGTCTGCCTGCAAAAATCCCACCATTATATCTCGAACGACATTTGCTCGGGGAGCTCCCACCCAAGGCCCCAGGGTACAGAGGATCAGGCGGCGGAAGCCAAAGAACAAGGTATCAATGAATATGCTGGCCACACTGTCTGCCCATGCATTTACATCCCGTTCTACCAGGATCACTCGGGCCTCGGGGTACGTCTTGAATAAGTTCTCACTGAACATGCTGCTCAAATCAGTTGTTGCCCGATATTGTCCGATAAGTCGGTCCCAGTTGGCGCGGGTCCACGGAAGGAGAGCGTCGTATGGTGACATATAGAATGGTACTGCTGCGAAACGGTTGCGTAGAAAAGGGAGATTGCACCATGCCGCTCGGCCCCATTCGTACCATTCCCGTGGTTCGTTGATTCGTAAAGCGTGATGCACGGGGCCAAAGCCAAGAATCTCCAATGCAGCCGCCAATGATGCCGTGCCGCTGCGTGGAAGGCCCGCACATATGATGCCGTCGCCAGTCGCAAAGCAAGGTCTCCGGTGCCCATTGATAGTAGTTTTGTTCGCCATGCTGAAGAGTAACGTAGAGGTATCGTCCACGTCTCGCGAGCAAGATATGTGCCCTTGCTTTAACTTCTGCTTACGAGATTGGAAGAATGCGTTTGGGAGAGTCAGCTGGGCCAACGGACACGCGCGGGACAGTTGAGCATGATATGCAGTTGTGCCAGAGACTTCGACTTATCTGGCTGACTATTATTTCGCGCAGAAATGCTGCAGCGAGGATGTATGGACCGAAACACGATGACTGAGCTCCACGGTGGGCTTGCCCAGAAGGGTAGTGACTCAGCGTCATGTATTACGGCCATTGCCAGTCTCGGGTAGGGGTAATGATGTCCGTCGTGGCGCGGCTGAATGGGCTTGCAGCTGCCATGTCTTAGAATCCGGTGAGTCGACGGCCTGGCTGCCTGATTCTAGGATCCATTTCAGCTTGGGTTTCATCCCAATATACTTCGTCAGCCGCCATAGAATTACGAGCGTTCGACGATGAGTGGGGATGTCGATTTGAGATGCCCTTAAACCGTTACTTGTCACGGGCGTAAGCACGGACGAATCATGTACTTCCTTCTGGATGCCTGTTTATCACGAAACAATACAATCCATAACATGAAGAATATGTCACTGAATGTAAGCAGGCATATGGTTGACTAGGCGAATCAGCAGAAGAACCGATCAAGACTTGGAGGAATTCAACCATTAACTTGTATTCCGCTGCCTGACCGTCATGACGATCTCAATTCGTCAGTATTTGAGACATCATAAGCCCTGAGACAGAAGAAAGAAAGTTGAAACAACTTCAGGCGAGGCCGCCGGGCGCCTGTGGGATTCCGCCACGTCACTCAGCAAACTGCTGATCCCCATATGCTATCACAGACATCGCCAACGAAACGGAGATGCGGCCTGAGCGTTGAATCGTTCAGAGGGAAGATGCCAACGTAGCCTTGGGTCCTTATAAGTCCGCAGACGGGACCATTAACAATCACCCGGGTGGTTTCAAGACTGCAAGGTCACTTATTCAAACCCGCGCCATCTCGGGTCTCATTCCGACATGGCCAGGATGCCAGGCTCAGTCATGAGCGTGAACGTCTTCCGCTCCACGCTTATATTGATTGCCAAACATATGCTATTCGCAGCCCTGCAAGGGATGCAGTATGGCCGACTGCAATTCATCGATCCTTCGTCAGGACCAGAGAAGGGCCCTTGCCAACCCGATGTAATCGTCGGCTCGGGTGAACCTTCGGCCACAGTGCTCGTAAAGGACGACTGGTTCTGGGTTCGTGTTTTGGCGTCGGGTAGTGTGGTTCGTGGCATGCCCCCTAACCGAGACTTTGGCGCCATATTAATATACTCACTCGTGAAGGGATTTGCGGAAGCATATATAAGTGGCGAAATTGATTCCCCCAATCTACTCACTATCTTCAAGGTATCTATCTGCAAGTAATACTATAAGGGAAACTGTTTACTTATTCGCAGATTGCCTTAACGAACCGACGCATGTTCATTCAGTTAGATAAACAGTCACCTATCGTGACGAAATTGTACTCGTTATTCGCACCGACAAACACCATCGAACAAGCTAAGCGTAATGTTTCTGCGCACTACGACGTTTCGAACGAGATGTTTGCCACCTTCCTGAGCCCAGATATGACATACTCATGCCCGCTATGGCTCCCCCCGCAAGACATAGAATATAAACACGACGATCTCGAAAAGGCACAACAACGCAAACTTCTATACCATATCAAGGCAGCTCGGATTAAATCCTCAGATCACGTCCTTGAGATCGGCACAGGTTGGGGCAGCTTTGCCATTCAGGCGGTGCGTGAGACTGGATGCACGTTGACTACCGTTACTCTGTCTACGGAGCAAAAGGCATTGGCTGAAAAGCGAATTGATGCTGCAGGGCTCGCCGACAAGATCACAGTCTTGCTTTGTGACTTTCGGGAGATCCCCAAACTAACGGCAGGTCGTCGGTTTGACAAGGTTGTGTCTATTGAGATGCTTGAACACACGGGGATCGAATATCTACATGAGTATTTCGGAGTGATCAAGGATCTATTGATGGAAGAGGGCGCCATTGCAACGTTCCAGGCCACAATGATGTCCGAGTCTGTGAGTAACTAATCATCCATCTTGATGAAAACCGTCCAGCCAGTGTTGACACAAAGCGAACAGTATCAGGCGGATTGCCAAGCAACTGGAAGGTAAGCGTTCTGTTCTGGCACTAGATATGAAGAACAGGTTGCTAAGTTTGCAAAGTTTCATCTGCAAACATGTCAGTACTGCCAACTATATCTCTGGCAAAAGCTGGCAATGCTAAATAAGCATAGATATATCCCGGAGGATATCTGCCCACCTTAACAGAGGCAATTAAGGCGATCAATAAAGGAGCAGGCGACCATTTCATAATCGACAGAATCGAAAATTTTGGTGGCCTGGGCAGAGCGTTTCAGGCGTGGGGCAAGACCTTTGACCGAGACTTTGACTCTCGAATACGCCCCGACATGGTTACGAGGAATCCGCAGTGCTGCGATACGGAGATAGAAGAGTTCAGACGAAAATGGCGGGCAAGCATCTACTCATCTGTTACAAACTGATATCGATCATGCTAATACTGGGCAGTTTTACTTCGCATATTGCCAAGCCGGATTCGAGGAACAAGTTCTTCGAACAGTCACTATCAGACTTGCACGGACGGGGGGTTCTATTCTCGCGCAAGATTACTATACGTAACTATGTTAGCCTTGGTGACTATAATCGTGTAGCGTAAACAAGCCGCAAAGCCTTGGAGCGCGCAGAGTAGTACGACGCATTCTTTCTGCCATGACGGTAGTGTCCCCATGCCTGCAGTTATATATGATGATCTGCTAAATACAATCATGGGATTTCATTTTGACGCGCCACTAGTAGGACGTGGCTGTTGAGTCGTATCAGGGAAAGCCCGGCATAAATCGCTGGCAAGATTCGGATGAGTCTCGCTGGATATATCTCTGCTATGCCGTACCTACATCCTACCTCGGCGCCTTTTAGCGTGAGTTGAGGGCACGCTGCGACCGGATTCGAATACTAGTCGCAGGAGGCGGCGATGGGTTTCCGTATTTCAGAGTATATTAAAAATAGCCGATTACTTATAACCTTTTATACTACTATAAAGCCAGCCTTATTTATAAGCTCCCTATACTATCCTCGGCTCGAGATAAAACATTATAAAGAATAGTAATAAGTACGGGCTATTATAGCTCTAATAAGTTAACGATTACTTGGCCTAGGTAACGGGGCCGACGGCAGAGGCAAACCGGGCAGGCGTCGAGTCAATCATTAATAATACGCTCGAGTAGGAGAAACGCAGCGGTATAACGTTTAAGGCGGACAAGACGACCATCATCCACTTCACACGAATGGCCGAGCGCAACAGTAAGACGCCATGTACGATTAAAGGACAAGAGGTCAAACCGACAAGCAGTGCCAAAATTCTGGGAGTGATCATGGATTCCGGGCCGCGGTTCAAGGAGCACATGGCCAGAGCCGCCGCCAAGGGACTGTCCGCCGCAATGGACCTACGAAAGTTGAGAGTGGCCTCTCCACAGATGGCACGACAGCTATCCGGACTCTGCGGCTTGTTCGAGGCTGCAGTTTTTACAGTCGAGCTATCACTATTCGTATATCTGTCCGGCCAGTCGGATCCTCACTGACTTCACCTGCGTGTAGCTGCTAAGCGCATATTTGCCGAGTTCCCGGCCAAAGCCGGACTCCTTCATTCCACCAAACGGGATGCTCTGGGTAATCATGTTGTAGTTGTTGACCCAAACAGTCCCAGCCTTCAGCGCGTTGGATACCCGGATCGCCGTGTTGATGTTTGTCGTGTGCACGCCGGCAGCAAGGCCGTACCTGCTGTCGTTTGCTGCCCTGACGGCTTCTTCTTCCGTCTCAAACTTGCAAAGGACAACGACGGGCCCGAAGATTTCCTCTTGCATGATCTTCATGTCTGGGGACACGTTGGAGAAGACTGTGGGTTGGATAAAATATCCTTCGCCGCCGTGGCGTCCTCCACCGGCCTCGACCTTGGCTCCATCGTCCTTTCCAGATTGAATGTGGTTCATGATGCGGTCGAATTGTTGCTTGCTGACTTGGGGCCCTTGGAAGGTTTCTGCGTCAAATGGATTGCCAACGATATTCTTGGCTGTTCGGGCCTTGAAGTCATCGACGAACTTGTCGTAGATCCCTGACTGAACGTATACCCTGGACCCGGCGCAGCAGACTTGGCCATGGTTGAAGAAGATGCCAAAGTTGACCCAAGAAATGGCGTCCTGGATGTTGGCGTCATTAAAGACGATATTAGGGGACTTGCCGCCGAGCTCTAGCGTGATCTTCTTTAAGTTCGACTTGGAAGCAGCCTGCAAGATACCGCGGCCGACCGTGGTCGATCCAGTAAATGCAATCTTGTCAATGTCCATGTGGGAAGCAATGGCGGCCCCGGCGACGCTTCCAAATCCAGAGATAATATTAACAACTCCAGGAGGGAAGCCGGCCTTTTCCACAAGATTCGCGGCATATAAAGCAGACAAAGGCGTCTGCTCCGCCGTTTTCAGCACGACGGTATTGCCACAGGCAAGGGCCGGTCCAATCTTCCAGGACCACGAGACGAGGGGGAAGTTCCAGGGTATTATCTGGCCGCACACGCCGACTGCCTCGTGTCTCGTGTAGTTCAGGTTATCCGGATCCGTGTCAATGGTTTTGCCGTGTATCTTGTCGGCCCAGCCGCCATAGTATCTCAAACAGCCGGCGGCCATCCCGACATCTCCCTTTGCCATAGTGAGAGCTTTCCCATTATCGAGCGACTCTATGGCAGCGAGTATCTCGATATGCTCTTCTAAAAGGTCTGCCAGCTTGGCCAGCATGGATCCCCGCGCAGAGGGCGTCGTCTGTGACCAGACGCCTTCGAAGGCTTTCCTGGCGGCTTTTACTGCAATGTCCACATCTTGAAGGGGTCGATTGTTAGTGGTGCTTCCATTCGAAGTATTGCTTCAGCCTCGTTGGATTGAATCATACCTTCTGGGCCCGCTTCGTGAACCGCAACTATTGGTTTTTCGTTGGTGGGATTAACGGTCTCAAACGTCTTGCCACTGACAGCTTTCACCCATTTTCCATCAATGTACAAACCAAGAGGCTGATCATAGGTGACGGTGGGCGTCACGATAGTTTGACTGAGCGACATGATGACTGGTATGACCGGGTTGACAGTATGCACAAAGACTATGGCCAACTGTAGCTTTGCAAGCAGTGCCAGAGACCTATATCACTGCACATCTCTGAGTCTCAAGAGCTGGCTTCACGGGTGATACACTCGGTAGTCCGCGGATACCGGACTCGTCATGCCGTATTTGCCTCAATCAAAATACTGTCCTGTTTCGGTAAACGATAGAACATGTTACGTAGGGTGAACCGAATCCCGTATTACGCGTGGGCAAGTGGTGTCTCCAAGTACGAGGCGCCAAGGAGCTGGGGGCGCTCTCCAGTTTCCCCACAGCACCAGGCAACTCCCACTGCTGAAATTGCCTCTTTAGGAAAATGGAGCCGCACAACTCCACGAGCTGGTGGAGTGGAGATGATAGCAGGTGGTCAACCATCCATGTGGTTATGGCGATTTACGTCGTACGTGACCATGGATTCACAAGACGTATTCTTAGCGGTGGATCAACTTGCCGTGGAGACACTTGCAGTTTTTTTTTGATATAAATGTTTTTGGCCACGGCCTTCGCCTCATGTTGAAGGGCCACGCTGCACTGGAAACATCTTGACTTTCCCACCATGAGCATCTCCGACACATTCCCTACGGGCCAGAATGGCCAGTTTGACTACATTATCGTGGGAGGTGGTACGGCAGGATGCATCATCGCCAGCCGCTTGTCGGGCTACTTACCCGATAAGCGTGTTCTGATGATCGAAGCGGGTCCTACCGATATTGGTGAGAATCGCGCACTCGTCCTCAAGGACCGCTCCTCCATGCAAGGCACCGAGCTGGACTATCAATATACCAGCGTTGAGCAACCCCGAGGTGCGTACTCCAGGACAGGTGTATCTTGATTTCATGTTGATTTGATCTACAGGAAATAGCAGCATCATTCACTCGCGCGCCAAAATCTTGGGTGGATGTTCAAGCCATAATGACATGGTCTCCTTCCGTACGCCGCAGTACGACGCGTACACGTGGGAGAGGCTGGGCTGCAAAGACTGGTCATTCGAGACGTTCGCCCGAGTCCAGGATAAATTGCGTGTTACGACACACCCTTCTGCTCACCCCCGCGACCAAAGCCAGCTGAGCAAGGACTGGATCTTGTCGGCCAACCGCGCACTTGGCTTGCCGTATGTGAAGGACCTCAACAAGTCCATCCGGTCCGCTGGTGGCTTGACCCAATCCGTCGGATGGACACCTCTGTCCTACAACCCCGACAACGGATATCGCAGCAGCACTAGCGTGGCCTACATACACCCGATTCTCCGAGGGGAGGAGAAGCGGCAAAACTTGGTCATTTTAACCAATGCCTGGGTGTCACGAGTCAATGTTCAGGGTAACAGGGCAGTCAGCGTGGATGTCACCACTAAGGATGGCATCAAACACACCGCACATGCTGGGTCGGAGATCATTCTCTGCGCCGGGGCCATCGATACTCCAAGGCTCATGCTCCTGTCTGGGCTTGGCCCCAGAAAGCACCTCGAGTCCGTTGGTGTTCCCGTTGTCAATGATATCGCTGGCGTCGGAGAGAACCTCCAGGATCACCCTGGCGCCGGCGTGATATACGATCTGCACGACAAGGTCCCCGAGGAAACCGCCACCCATTCCGACGTCCTTGCATTCATACGGCATAAGCCATACAATTGGGCTGGCGACGATGGAAACATCCCTGATCTTCTCTTGCATACGTGGCAGCTTGACTTTGAAGACGATCCTGTGTCGCCGCCTGGCTACCCGAGGCCACAGCATCCATTTGGCATCTACCCAGTTACGTTGCGCTCAAAGTCACGAGGCAGGGTGTATCTCAAATCCAGCAACCCCAATGAAAAGCCGGCTCTGGACTTCAAGTATTTCGAGGACCCCGACAATTACGATGCGGAGATTCTGGTGGCAGGCATTAAGGCTGCTAGAAAGATGGCAAAGTCGGAGCCCTTCAAGAGCTACATCAAGCGAGAGGTTGCGCCAGGCCCTCACGTTACTTCCGACAAAGAGTTGGAGAAGTTCGCCCGCGAGACATCCTATACCATCTACCATCCAGCGTGTACAACCAAGATGGGAGATGTTGAGAAGGACCCGTTGGCTGTGGTTGACTCTCGGCTGAAGGTGAAGGGACTTTCGAACCTGCGAGTCGCCGACGCCGGTGTCTTCCCGACAATGATCACGGTCAACCTGATGCTGACCGTTTTGGCTGTGGGCGAGAGAGCAGCGGAACTGATTGCTGAGGACGCAGGGTGGACTGGTGCCAGGTCTCATTTGTAGGCTAGAGCTATACACGGTGATTGAGTGAGTCAATGGAGCTACTTCGTACACTGCATCCGTATTTTAAGACCGTTATTGCCACTTTTACTTTCGAACTACATGTATTCCGGACACCTGGTCGGTCGGGCAACGATCGAGTCAACCATTGTCAAGGGTACAACCGTGCTTGGTACACATCTCTGGACTGTAGATGGTCTTGATTGCTACCCGATAATCGAGTACTCCAGTACGCTCGTCTCGGCGTATCGGGTGATTCACCTCGTCGCAACTAGATTGCCACGAGCTCGTTCAAATTACCATTACCCCGCAAGCCAAGGCCAGCACAGCCGGAGGAGCGCCGTCAAGACATGGGCCGAGAAAACCCAGTTGAGGTGGCGCACATGGTCCAAGACGGCCATTGACCCATGTGGGCATTCAGACCATGGGAGGGGTAGTGGGTGGGCTGAACTCGATTTGCCTGAAAGGGCAATACGTGAAAGTTCACTTCCAAGTGGGGATAACGAGTCAACGACGCCCCGTCCGGTCTCGCACCAATGCCAGCCACAAAATCGACCATTAGCTCGTTCAGAGCCAGAAACCAGGAATGTGGCATTGCTCATCACCAGCCGCGGCTGGTGACCTCGCGTTGGAAACGGCAGACTGATACGTCTCGCGCGATGTAAATATACGACTCACCGGCCTCCAATGTCGCGTCAATGCCACGTTGCCCGTGCAGTACACACAGCTCGCCGAAATGACGGTCTCAAAGCGAAACTCGGCCGAAATGGCAAACATCGATGAGGTGGAACTCGAGGCCGCTGGCTATGTCCAGGCGATGCCTCGCCAGTTCTCCATGTGGTCGCTCGGTGCCCTGTCCTTTACGCTGACGTGCACCTGGCTCGGGACTGGTGCATCCCTCGGCATTGGCATTGGTGAAGCCGGTCCCGCGGGTGCCCTGTGGTCTCTTGTGGTTGCGGGCGTCATGACACTGGTTGTGTCTGCGGGGATGGCAGAGCTAGCATCTGCGTATCCTGTTGCTGGAGCCCAGTACTATTGGTCATTTATGGTTGCCAGTGATAAGTATAAGGCATTTGCATCTTATCTGTACGTGTCATACACGACGCACTAATTCCACCATGGAGAGAAATACTAACATTTGCCATCCTAGGAATGCCTGGATGAGCATAATAGGCTGGTGGCTGGCATCCGGATCAGTTGCCAACTTCATCGCCTCCATGCTAGTAGAGATCGCCTCCATCTGGCATCCCGACTTCGAGCCTCATCAGTGGCAGATATATCTCATCTACGTCGCCCTAATCTGGCTCGCTGCGGCTCTAAACATACTAGGATCACGGATATTGCCTCTCTACAATCAGTTTGTCTTTATGCTCTCTATTCTGACACTCGGGTCTACGATGATCGCTCTCTTTGTGGTTGGTAGGAACAAGCATGCATCTGGCCAGTTCATCTTCGCGGATACTACCGGTCAGAGCGGTTGGACGAGCGAAGGCTTTACGTTCCTCCTCGCGACAAGTAACGCAGTCTTCGGTTTCATGGGTAGTGACTGCGGCGCTCACCTATGCGAAGAGATTGCGAACCCCGCCAAATACGTTCCAATGGTCATCATGTATCCATTGGTTATCGGTCTCCTAACAGCCTTTCCGTTCGCCGCTTCCTTGATATACTCTATTACCGATCTTGAAGCTATCCTTAATACCGTTACCGGCCTTCCTCTAATCGAAATCTACTTCCAAGCAACCGGGTCCCGCGTTGCTGCCTCGGTATTGCTCTCGGCGTTCACATTTTGTTTCTTTGGGTGTCTGGTTGGCGTTGGTACGTTCCACAATCGCACTACCTCGGGAAGAAGCCTCCACACTAATAAGAGACCAGGGACTACCTGCTCTCGTACCATCTGGGCGGTGTCCCGTGACGGGGTATTGCCCTTCTCAAACCTTTGGATGAGTATTCACTCTGCGTTTACGATGCCCGCAAATGCAACGCTATTGACCGCAATATGTGTCACGGTTTGTCTTATTTCTCTCCACTTCGGCCTGAGCCTGACTAACGTAAGTACCAGCTTTATGGGCTCATTTTCCTTGGTTCTACCACGGCATTTTCTGCCATGGTTAATACAACGATCCTATTCCTGCAGACATCGTGCGTCATTCCCCAGGCAATTCTTCTCTACCGAGGCCGCGACCGCGTCTTGCCAAGGCGCTACTTTAACCTCGGTAAACTGGGGCCGTTTGTCAATGGTATATCTGTGGCTTGGGTTGTTTTTCTGGACGTTCTTTACTGCTTTCCTAGCGTATTGCCCGTCACAGCACAGAACATGAGCTATGTGACTGTAGTAGTGACGGGCTTGCTGTCGTTTGTGGTGATTCTATGGGTTGCCACCAAGAGGGGCACGTTTACCGGCCCGCATATCAACGTGGAGCTGATGAATGAGAGGCGCCAGGCTGCTCTCGACTCGAATCTTGGTGGCGGGGACCCAGAGATCTCGGAGGTTGGGTCAATTCGCACACATGGCAACATGAAGGATGCCACTTAGACAGGTGCTCCAACAGCGCTAGAATTGAAGGCACCGGTCACGTTCATTTCCCACCAACGGTGCAGCGATTGCACCAATGCAGGGTCGTTCTCGCCCGCTGGATGTCAATTATAACCCAGAGTGACTGCTGTAGCTTCCGATATAGCTTCCGATACTGCCATCGACATCCAATCGTCCGCGTGTGATATTTGGCGTATCGCTGGCTCTGGACAATATATGCCAGTTGACTTCAACAAAGGATTTTGTGACCCAGCATGCTTCTTGTGCCGTATTAACATCCTGTGATTGTTTCTCTATGCTTGGCCAGCGATCTTGAGCCGAAGTCCGAAGTCCGGACCAGGTCTGGCGCAGTGCCCAGCAAGCCGGGTTTGTAGGGGTGCTGCGGGGGGTGGCTTGGGCGGGGTCTCTGGGGATTGGGGACCTCCGCGAGTCCGGGGTAGTCGTGCGCTCCTTGCCCCGAATTTAGTTAAAACGCATGAGGGGCCGGTTCGTCCGTCAACTTCAATTCAATCTATCTCGCCGGCTTCTGTATCTGTCTTCGCTGTCTGGTTGATGATATGGATGCGCCATCGTTGCCAGAGGCGTCCAAGCGGCGGGAGGCTGTCGACTGTTTCAACTGCTCGGCCTCACGACGGCCGTGCGACCGGACACGGCACCGCTGTGAGACGTGCTCTCGCTGCTCGGAGCTATGCGGTGGCTACCCGCGCGAGTGGCAGTGGCTGGCCGGCGTCAAGTCCCGCGGCAAGCACAAAGGCAGATCAATGAGCATTCCAACGTCGAGCAGGGATTGGCACTCCACAACGCCGGTCAACCATATGTTTGTCTTCAAACCAGGAAATCCCAAGCGCAAAAGGGCCAAAGGTGCTGGTGACAGCAGCACTAAGCCGAGACGACATAGAGCCGGCACCGACAAGATGGCACTGCCGGATGCCGCGAATTTTGCTGCTACGCCGTCGAGTAACGAGCAACACTTCGACCAGGCTGAGGGAGAATCTCCCACGTCTGTTGCAGACCCCAATCACGAGTTGCTGTTGGCACCCGACGCTGAAGCAGCTGGCGGCGATTCAGCCTCCCTCGAACTCACGAACGCTATATTCGACGACATCGATGTCTCTGCGATACAGGACCTTGATATCGATGGCAACATGTTAATTCCACCATTGGAACTGGAATCTATCTGGCCCGATCAGACTGGTTCATTACAGCCCTCCATGATCTATCTGCCGCCCCCTCCAGCCCTATCGACCCCCGCATCGCTGCAAGCCTGGGAAACGGTTGAGTTACTCACATTATGTATGAATGGCTATCCCACTTTTACGATTAGATCAATGCTGACATTTACCGATCTAAAGATGATGCGGAACTTTGTGTCCTCCCCCTAACATACGACTATGTCGCGAATCCACTGCGTCGCGTTTCACGAGGACCAGACCACTCAGATCATGCCGTGATTGCATTTACCATACAATATCTCAGTCGTATGAAAGATTCTGGCGCAGACGACGGTGCTGCGAAGAAAATCATGGCGTACAAAAACTCCGCTTCGAAGCTATGCACCTTGGCGCTATCGACGGGGACGCCGCAGCCGAAGGAACACGTAATCGATACGACAGTCGTTCTCTTTAACTTGGACGTAAGTACACGCAAGATGCTGCAGGTTGCAGATCCCCAGCGTCTAACGCCAGATACAGTCTTTTACGGCTGCCGCGGGTCCATGGAACGAGCGTCTCACCGCTGCACTACAAAGAATTGAGTGCATGGGTGGCATAGACGCTTTCCCAATATCGCCACGTTTACATGCGCAGCTCACCATGTTTGTCTGGTAAGCCGATGTCGCGAGGATGCTTCGCATACCAACCCCGACTTGACGCTGCGTTTACTCACATGAACTTCAGGTGGGACTGCAACATATCCCTATTCACCAGGTCCGGGCCTGTTTTTCCAGAGCGGTACCACGATTTTGTGCTTTCGAACGATAACGACGAAGACTCCAACATCTTCGCACTGTCTGGAGTGCCGAAAGAATTATTCGGGTACTTTCGCGAGCTGGCAGAGCTGGCCAGCGAGAAGGAGCTGATTTCCAAGATGAAGTATGCAAAGTTCGACGACCAGAGGGTGCTTGAGCTTGAGCGATGCATTCGAAACTTGACGCATCCGCCGCTCGGCGACGCCGATAGCGAAGAGAGCGTTCATACGTGGCACGACTACTATAACGGTACGAATGCGTGGAAATACGGTCTGCTGCTATACATTTCCCGCGTTCTCAAGTGGGACAGGATAGGGGAGCCCAATCGTCAAGAAATCACGTCGCTCTCCAGGTTGGTCCTCGACAGCGTGCGGTGCTGCAGGGCAGATTCAAATTTCCGCAAACAATTCCTACACCCCGTCTTTCTAGCCGGCGCCGAGTCGACAGATTCATATTCGAGAGAGTTTATCGTGGATTATTTCAAGAAGTGGTACCAGAGGACTGGGTACGCTATGTTCGAGGACGCGTTAGTCCTCCTGCGGGAGATATGGGAGCGACGAGATGAGAGTAATAACGACGCGAGGATATGGTGGGGGAGCGTGGTCGGGGAGAGGCCCTTCGGTGCGTCTCAATTTTTGCTCGGCTAAAGACGTAATATACTCACTCACTAGTTAATTACGCCCGGTAGCCGGCTAGCTAATAGAGTAGCTATCTGCTTTATATATATATTCGTTTCTAAAATTTAATGAATTCTTAAAATAGCCCGTACCTTCTTTACCTCCTAGCTATTTATCTTTCTTATTTATTATAAAGCCTTATTCTTATATACATTTATTGATAAGTAAGCTCAAAAGCGATTCTTTAAGTATTTAGAGTCTTATATATAATAGCTAAAGTAGTACGTATTAGTATATATATAAGTAATATATAAAGGGTTAATAATAAATAGCTAGTTTAATCAGGACTTATTTATATTATATATTCTTTAATCGCTTTATTATTACCAGCAAACACCCATCACGCTAAAGGGGAGACATCCTCTCACTGTGGTTAGCTACCCTGGAAAGCCCGCGCCCACTCGATGGAGGGTAACAAGGCCACAGAAGCAATCAAGGTCCTGCCGGTTGGTGATCGGATGTGTGACCACAAGGGATTATGTCTGCTCGCATCGTTAACGGAGCAGACTTTCGTCGGAAGCAGCGTTGTGGAATCCCCCTCCGGGCTTGATAAACGGCATTACCAACGAGTCCTAGGAGTTTTGACGGAGTGAGACCCCGCAACGCATGTTCGCCGTAGGCATACAGCGCCTGCACTACGAGCACCACACAAGTACAGAGCGAAGATCCCAGAGATTCCGAGAGCAAAAACCGACGAATGAATTTGTCGCGTGCCCTCTGGCCCACATAAGGGCATACATTATATACTTGCACTTGGTACATCATCTCTCTTACAACTATCCCACAACTCGTGGCCATGAACATTCCACAGCTGGCGGTATTTTTTAACTGCTCCTAGGATCTGGTCAGTCTTGCTATGCTCGAAAGAACCCATGCGTAGTCCACTTGGTTGGCTGAAGCTGCAAGAGTCGTGACCAATATACAAACTACATTGTTCCCGAAAACTGCGCCATAGCAAACTCCCATAAATAAATCCTACAAACTCAGGATTGCCAATCGTAGAGTCAGTGGTCTCGCCCCGTCTTTCGGACTCCAGCAATAAGCTAATAGCTTTGAAAATTTTGTCTAATAAGTTTGATTGGCGTCCTAAGGCCTCGGCGGCGCCGAAGCGGATATCCTTATCGTGGTCTGTGAGCAGCGCCGCCAGCACCGCCAGCGTCGCCTCTGACAAAGTGTCTGCCAGGACGTGCTAGTGCTTTCAGAATTTCAACTCTTCCGCGGCCGGAAGTACGGTCCAGGGCATTCCGCAGGGCTCGGACTGGAAGCTCCGATTCTGTCGCCAATGATGAAGATTCTGTCAAATCACATTCGAAGAGCAGCCATTGCGATAGCCTTGCTTCTAGGTTCGATCGAATTGGCAACTCTGTCACTTCGCTCAGGCAATGCATGACCAGGCGTTGGTTTGTTGGACCTAATTGAGATCCAGAGTGAGGGACCGCGATTCGTATCATTAACATCCACACCCACACGAGTTAGGAGTTCCAGAGCAGCCCACACCACAGCCAAACTTCACCTTGTCGGTTCCGCAATCTAAATCCTTCGAGCACTTATGCCAAGGCCCTTGCCCACTGTTTGGGGCGGTCCAGCACCACCAGAGATCATTGAGAGGGGCACCGCAGTACTTCCAGCAATACCCCTTCCAACAACCTTTAGTCTTCTTGAGGGGCTTGCAAGCTTGGGCTTCGATATCTAACACCGACAGAGCTAAGATAACGTCAGTAAAGTCTGCACACCTTTGAATTCTAATAGAGACAGCATACCGTCATTCGGTGAATTGTCATTCTCTGGCCTCAAATCGCTGTTAGGGTGGTCGTCCCTGTCTCTTGGTACGGCTGCGCTTGCTAGGCCCACCAGCAGCAAAGCGGTAACGGACAGTCTCATAGTGAATACGTCAAAGCCAACCAAGGAAGAAAGGAGATGATCAAGTAGTATGTATTAGGGACGATGATGTTGCCAGATCTAGCCACATGCCTTGAATGAACTGGGCTTTATCCTCGAGGCGGCGACAGCCTTTATATATGTACCCAAGTCTCGAATACTTGGTAATCACTCTTCTCAATACGAAGCCCTCACTGCGGCACATCAAACCCTTTCGAGATTCTCAGCCCTCTGGACTAACAGTGGGCGTAAGCCCCTTAAGGTAACTGCCGCGCCTGCGGGCTGACGGGTCAGCGTAAGCTACTTAAGTAGCGGGTGCCAAAAACAACAGCAAGGCAAGACCTTTGGTGCCAAGGTTGGCTCGGATCGAGGACAGGATGGTTCCTGGTCAGCCGCGCGTAGATACGCGGAAGCTAGTTTAGTTCCACTCCCCGCAAACGGCCCGTCACGTGTGGCAAGCAACTTAATTCTCATCAGCG